AGTTTGGAAGTGTTCTCTCCTCATCAATTTTTGGAAGAGTTTAGGAAGGATAGGTATTAAATCTTCTTTAAATGTTTGGTAGAGTTTATCAGTGAAGCTGTCTGGTCCTGGGCTTTTGTTTGTTGGGAGGTTTTTGATTACTGACTCAGTCTCCTTACTAGTAATTGGTCTGTTCAGATTTTTTTTCTTCATGATTGAGTCTTAGAAGATTGTATATTTTAAGGGATTTTTATTTGAGCCTTTATCTTTTATTCCTGTTGAGTCTAGTTAAGGGTTTGTCAGTTTTGTTTATTTTTCAGAGAACCAGCCCATGGTGTCATTGGTCTCTTCTGCTGTCTTACTCTAGTCTCTATTTCATTTATTTCTGCTCTGGTCTTTGTTCCTTCTTCATTCCTTCCTTCTACTAAGTTTGGGTTTTGCTTGTTTTTCTTTTTCTGGTTCCTTTAGGTGTAAAGTTAGCTTCCTTCCTTCTACTAAGTTTGGGTTTTGCTTGTTTTTCTTTTTCTGGTTCCTTTAGGTGTAAAGTTAGATTGTTTATTTGAGATTTTCTGTTTTTTTTTTTTGTTGTTGTTGTTGAGGTAGGCCTCTATCATTTTGAACTTCCCTCTTAGAATGGTTTTTCCTGCATCCCATAGATTTTGGTAAGTTGCATTTCCATTTTCATTTGTTTTGAGGTATTTGTTTATTTCTCCTTTGAATTCTTCATTGACCCATTGGTTATTTAGTAGCATATTGTTTAATCACCACATATTTGTGATTTTTTTTCCATTTTTTTTATTCATTTCTAGTTTCATACCATGTGATTGCAAAAGATGCTTAATGTGATTTCAGGCTTCTTAAATTTATTGAGATTTGTTTTGTGGCTTAAGATGATTTATTTTGGAGAATATTCGTATACACTTGAGAAGAATTCATATACTGCTACTTTTGGAGGGAATGTTGTGTGTGTGTGTGTGTGTGTGTGTGTGTGTGTTTATAAACCATCTGGTCTAATAGGTTGTTTAAAGTTGATGTTGCCTTATTGATTTTTTTTTTTTTTTTTTGGCGGGGGGTTCTGGATGATCTGTCCATTGGTATAAGTAGGGTATTAAGTTTCCTGTACTATCATATTGCTATTCATCTCTCCCATTAGGTCTATTAATATTTACATATCTAGCTACTCATATCTTGGGTGCATAAGCATTTAGAAATGTTATATCCTCTTGTTGGATTGACCCCTTTTTCATTATATAAAGGTCTTCTTTTCTTCTCTTTTTTTTGAAAGATTTTATTTATTTGAGAGAGAGCATGCACACGTGAGCAGAGGGGGGAGGAGCAAAGGAAGAAGGAGAAGCTGACTTCCTGCTGAGCAGGGAGCCTGACATGGAGCTCAATCCCAGGACCCTGGGATCATGACCTGAGCTGAAGGCAGATGCTTAACTGCCTGAGCCACCCAGGCATCCCTCTTCTTTGTCTCTTACTACAGTCTTAGTTTTAAAGTCTATTTTGTCTGATGTAAGTAAAGCTACTCCTGCTTTCTTTTGGTTTCCATTTATGTGAAACATCTTTTTCCATCTCTTTCAGGCTGCGTGTGTTCTTATAGCTGAAGCAAGTCTCTTGTAGGTAGCAGATAGATGGATTTTTTTTTTCATTCAGCCACTCTGTGTCTTTTGGTTGGAGAATTTAGTCCATTTACATTAAAGTAATTATTAATAGGTCTCTAGTTATTGCCATTTTGTTCATTGTTTTCTGGCTGTTTTGTAGTTCCTTTCTTCCTTTCTTGCTCTCTTCCTTCATAGTTTGATGGTTTTCTTTAGTGTTATGCTTAGATATCTTTCTTACTATCTTTGTGTATCTCCTATAGATGTTTACTTTGTGGTTACCATAAGGCTCACATATAATAGCCTATATATATATAACAGTCTATTTTAAATTGATAGCAATTTAACGTTGTTTTTAAGATTGATTTATTTATTTTAGAGAGAGAGAGTTCATGTGAATGGGGGAGGGAAGAGGGAGAGAGAGAATCTCTCAAGCAGACTCTGCTGAATGTGGAGGCCAATGTGGGGCTCCATCCCAGGACCCTGACATTGTGACTTGAGCCAAAACCAAGAGTCAGACACTCAACCACCCGAGCCCCCTAGGCATCCTGATAACAACCTAAGTTTGAATGCATTCTAAAACTCCACATTTTTGCTACCCCCCCATTTTATGTTTTTGATGTTACATTTTAGATCTTTTTCCTTTGTCCCTTAACATTTTTAATCACAGTTCTTTTCGCTAATAGTAGCTTTAGGTGATAAATCCACTGCCTTTACTATATACTAAACTTTACCAGTGAGATTTATACTTGAATATGTTTTCTTGTTAATAATTAGTATACTTTCTTTGCAGCTTAAAGAATTTCCTTTAATATTTCCTATAAAGCCAGTTTAGATGATGAACTTCTTTAGCTTTTACTTGTCTGGGAAACTTTTTATCTCTCCTTTAATTCTGAATGATAACCTTGCCTTGTAGAGTATTTTTAGTTGGGAGTTTTTTCCTTTCAGCACTTTAAATATTATCGTGCCACTTTTTCTGGCCTACAAAGTTTCTGCCAAAAATCTGCTGAAAATCTTATGCAGGCCAGAGGGCGGGGTGCAGGGTTCCCTTGTATGTAAAAGTTGTTTTCCTCTTGCTTCTTTTTAGATTATTTCTTTATCTTTTACTTTTGACATTTTACTTGTACTATGTCTTGGTGTCTTTTGGAGTTCATTTTTTATGGGACCTTCGAGGCTTCCTGGATCTGGATGTCTGTTTCCTCACTTTGGGGAAGTTTGCCACCATTATTTCTTCAAATAAGTTTTCTGCCCCTTTGTCTCTCTCTTTTCTTTCTGGCACCTGTATAATGTGGATGTTATTCTTCGTGCTGTGATGTTCCATAGGTTCCTTAAGCTATCTTCACTATAATTTTTTTTCTTTTTTCTTTTCTGCTTGAGTTCCATTCCTCTATCTTCTAGATCACTGTTCTTCTCTCCTGCTTGATCTAGTCTGCTCTTGAATTCTTCTGCTTTAGTTTCTTGTTTTTGAGATCAGCCACTGTCTTCAGCTTCGTGACTTCTGTTTGATACTTTCTTATATTTTCTGTTTGTTTTTAAGTTCTCATTGTGTTGATTGATTTTTCTCTCAAGTTTGGTAAACATCTTTATGACCATTACTTTCACTCTGTCAGATAAATTAGTTATCTCTATTTCATTAATTTTTTTCCCTGAGGTTTTTATCTTCTTTTGTTTGGAGGAACATATTTTTCTGTTTTCTCATTTTGCTTGACTGTATGTTGTTTCTATGTTTACAGAAAACAACTACCTCTTCTAGACTTGAAGGACTAGTCTTGTGTAGGAGACGATCTTTATCTTTCAACCTAGCCCTGGCTCTTGTGTTTCTCAAACCTTTGTCTTGTCTAAGTAGTCTGATTTATATTTGATAGGAACCAACTATTGACGCTGTTCCAAGATCAGTTGGTGTTGCAAAGGCAGGGATCTCAAGTCAGTACCTAGATTCAGATTGACTGGAAGCCAGACCCTCAGGCAGCAGCTTTAGTGTATGCAGATGTATAATGTATAGTTGTATGGAACCACAGACATAAATCCTCTGGCCTGCAGACCAGGTGATCTGGAGATATCCTCTGGGCTACAGTTGGAAAAGTCAGGGCTTGAGAGGAGTATGTAAGTTCCTTTCTAGGGGGTTCCAGTGAGCTCTAATGAGGTCATTGGAGAGCACAAAGATGATGTCCCCTGCCCTGCATTCCCTGAGAGCAGCTCTATAGACTTTAGACGTGTGGCAAACCTGAAGTCTGTCCCTTAGGCTGATGCTCCAGGACAAGTAAATAGGCATTTTTTCACAGAAAGATGGGATGTGGTTCAGTCTGTGTAGTGCTCTGGGTGTGGTAGGTTCCCAAGAACTGTTTGATTAGTACATTTTCATGGGACCCAGGAATGCAGGCCCTACTGGCTACTTGAGCCAGGTGACCAGAGAGCATCTTTGGTGTGGAGTGTGTGTGACCAGCAGCTTGAGTGCAGCTGTGGAGAGTGCAGGGCTGGGTGCACCTGCCAGCTTTGGGGGGCGGGGCACAGGAGAGTGCAGGGTTGGAGTGCTCCATTGGTGCTATCGGAAGTAAAAGGGAGAGTGCAACAACAGCACCTGGCAGAGTCTTTGTCCCTGGAGAAAGGCCCAATAGGCCCCTGCCCCTCTTGTGGATGGTTTAAGAATAGCAAACCTTCTTCCCATGTAGTCCAGTTGCTTTTCAAACAGCTGTTTTGTGTTCTTCCCTGGCATGAGTAAGTCTACATGCAAGCCTTTTAACAGAAGTGTCTCAATCCCCTGCAGCCTGTTTGGTCCCCTGGAAGTAAGGCCCACTGGCAAATTAAGAGGTAGCAACAGTAGCAGTATGTATATATTCTTTTAGAAGGTGACAAAAGAATCATCTGATAAAGTATCATACCAATTGCTACTGATGCTTTGCAGGATAGACCTCAACTACTACAGGCTACATTTATGTACTTTGTCTTGGCATACTAGTGGGGTTGCAATCTGTGAAATATTGTCAAAGATGTACACAGGTGGAAATTTTTGTTAGGTGACTGGTTTGCACGGTATCTTACCACACATTAGTAATTTGCCAGATTTGGTCAAAATCAATCAACTTCCTTTAAGTCAATCCTTTTTTAAAGTTATGGAAAGGAAAAACAATTGAATGGTTGGGTTTGATATAAAGACCTCTTTTGATCAAGTGACAGTTAAAATCAGCCAATTACTTGTCATCTTTATGTATTAAGGAATTTCAGTTAATCACATTGCTCTCAGATGCATTTTATGATGAGAGATGCCAGGTGTAATAGTATGTCTGAATTTAGTAGGCAGATGAAATTGGTTTTAGTTAAGGTTGTAGGATTGCTTTGATTAGCCAGAGTAATATTTCTTAAGAGGACCTCTCTTACTCCAACAGATACTAAGTCTAAAGAGTACTTTCTGTGTTTTTTTAGTCGGCCGTATACTAACAAGGTCATCACTTTATGGTACCGCCCACCTGAACTGCTGTTGGGAGAAGAACGATATACCCCTGCTATTGATGTATGGAGCTGTGGGTAAGATAGGTTTACTGACTGGTTTAATTTACTTGGAACTTTTGGTATTGAAGTAAAATCATATCATATGGTAATGATGGGCATTTCTTCCATTAGATGTATCCTTGGTGAACTCTTCACTAAAAAACCTATATTTCAAGCAAATCAAGAACTTGCACAACTCGAATTAATAAGGTAAGCTCATGATTGTAATATTTGTTGGGGGTGTGTAATACTTCACAGAAGATTTTAAGTCTTTTGAGTTTGTGTTTTTAGGAGGAACAGCATGGTTTTCTTGAAGGCTAATGATTGCTGAATGGAGGAAAAACTAGAATGTGGGTATTTTGATAACTTATTCTAGTAATATTAAGGCTCTTAAAGTCCCTAAATCTTTTTTGCAACTAAAGAAAGAGCAGGAGGCCCAAAAAATAAGACCAGGAAGAAAGAGTAAATAAATATGAAGAAGGAGAGAATAGATGGTAGGTAACCTTTTTTTAGTATGCCAGGATTGGAAGAATTAATGTTTTGGGATACTTTAAAGAGATACTGTTTTATATACATATATGCATACATGTTTATACATGTCTATATGTGACATATAGACCAAAACATATACATGTACCCAGAGGCATCAGTCTTCATTATTTGGAGCCTATAGTAGGGCTGAGGTCATAAGGACATACATGATAATCATCTTTAACATTTTAAAATAATTCGTTTATTTTTTTTTAAAAAGAACTTTGGCTTTCATATATAATAATGTTAATTTGCAACTTCTAAGTTTTGTGTGTCTCAAAATATGGATGAGAACTTTTAGGAAAGATACTGGTATGAGGCACAGATACCAATACACTGTGAACCTTCCCTTCAGCAGACTTATTGGATTAATTGATGCTCTCCAATCCCTCTGTAAGTAACACTAGCTTGATAACATGGCAAGCTGAATGTTTGCAGCTAGTAGACTACTACTCTCTACAGTAAGACTATGTATTTATCCTACCAGTTGAAGTATGATGACTAAGAGGTAGTTGTTTCCAATTTTGTATTATTGTATGTGTGTCCTTAAATATAGCCAGATGTGGTGCTTTGCAGAGATTTAACAAAGTTGCTATCAAATTAACTGGGGCAGGGGACAAGTTATTTTAAGTTAGAAAGGTAAGTCATAAAAATTTAGAAGAATTTAGTACTCAAATTGCTTTAAATCCCTGATAATGTGGTTTGTTTGAGAAGGCAAATGCAGAATTCCATTCAATGAATCCTCTGTTCAAAGAGAAGGCCTTGTCCTATGTCAGAAAATTGGAGAATAAATGTACATTTTTAATTTTTCAGTTATAATAAAATGTTTAAATTATATATCTGTGTTTCTTTATTTTTGTTTTTTTAAATGACTCCCCTTCACCCTATTTTTCAATTAACAAGGCATTGGTTCTGATTTCTTTGGATATTAGGGCTTCTGTTAATGATAAGTTAACTTTTATTTACTTACTACTTGATGCAAGCATGGTTCCAAGACTTTCACCTGGAGTAGCCTCAGTTAAGCTTCATACAACCTTTTGTCTTCTTTTTAAGGTTAACAAAATGGAATCTTAGAAAGTGAAGAATTTGTCTAGGATCCTATAACTAGCAAGTGACAAAAACGGGTTTTAAGTTTAGACAGTTTACCATAGTAGCTAAATTTTTAATTCTCTATACCATGTAAGAAATAAAACTTCCTGGAGCTTTTTAGATAGTGTGGCACACATGTCAATAATTGACAAAGTTAAAAATTCTCTACCGAATATTAATCAAAAAATTCTAAAGAAAAGATTAGCCAGTCATATCTAGGTTTTCATTAAAAATAAACTTGCTGAGTCAAGTAGGAATCACCCAAAGAATACAAGAATGTTTCAGTTTTAGGACATCTGTTATTATAATTCATCATTTTAATAGAAGCAGAGTAGTATGTTTATCTTGGTAGGTGTTGAATAGCATTTGCTAGAAATACAAACTAAGTGTAGAAGTATATATTTCTTTAACATGATGAGAATATGTATTCTAGACCAATAGCCAGAATACTATTTAGCGGTGAAATACTAGAAAATGTAAGACAAGAAGGATAAAAATTGTCTTCTAGTATCATTATTTTAAGAGTGTTTTAGAAGTACTAACCAGTTAACTAACAAGTGATCCAGTAAGGAGGTGTAAATAGTGGCAGAATGAACGCAGTATTGTCATGATTAGTGTATGATAGCATTGCATACGTGTATACAGGCAGACTGCAAAGGAATTACCTAAAACACCTCGAGTAAGAAAGTCTGGTAAAATGACAAGTATTGAGAAAATGTGTGTGTGTACATTTGTGTGTATACATATATGCACACAATATCCTAATATATCATCAATACATAAATGCTAAAAACAGTAGCTTCTTAAAAATATGTACCAATAATAACCAGTTAGAAACATACGTGAGGGAAAAGATGCCTTTAACAAAAGCACCACCATATATACTCCAGGGATATTGAATACTATAATGTCTCACTTAAAATTGTAAAGCAGATTCAAAATAACTATTGGGAATGGCATATCTCATTTTTGTTTGGAAGCCTTAACATTTTTGAAGATGCCACTTCGACCCCCTGTACTAATCATTATAGTCCTAATGAGAATTTCAGAAGACATTCTACTTATAGATAAACTTTAAAATAACAAAAATTCTTAAAAAGTAGGAAAATATGGCATATTGTATGTTAAAATTATAGCTCCTAAAACCCATTTTGCACTAGCACAAGACACATAGATAAATTATTGGAATTTTATGGGAAGTCCAGAAATAAAGCAAGTTCATATGGACCTCCAAATATAATACAGAAGTCATTTCAAGTTGTGGTGGGTGGGGATTATTAATTGAACAAGTATCTAGTGGTTTCAGGTTGTGTGCCAGTTACCAGGCACTGGTGATATAAGGCAGGAACTAGTGCACAACTTTTTCTAGTTTGTAATTTGGAGAGACAAGGCAAAACTAATTAATAAAATATATATGGTGGTGGTAAGGGTAAGGGAATAGAAAATGATAGGAGACAGTGCTGTACAGAGAGTCAGGGGAAGTTTCTCCCATAAGGTCTCATTTGAACAGGGATCTGAATGAAGTGAGGGGACAGCAAAGTAATAAAGATCCTAAGGCATTGAGTATACTTGGATTATTTTATGAACACGTCAAGTCCGTGGACCATGTCAGGGGAAAAAAAAGCTCAATCCATCCACTTGGTGACGTACTGTACGGTATTATAAAGGAAATGATAGAGCTGGAGATCTTGAAAAGCAACAGCGTTTCATGATGAACCATTTTACAGAAGTCTGTGTTCAGTTTGATCCCATTTAGGTAAAACATCAAGAGAGTCTAGAATTGTTATGTGAGCATGGATTTGTGAGAGGATTGTGAAGGGGGCTATTTTACATTCCAGTTTATATATTTCAGAATGTTTTTATTTTGTTGGTACTATATCAAATATTTATGATACTGTAAAAAATATTGCTACAATTTGATTCTGTGGCATTAAGTATTTTTAAAACATGAAGGAAAAAAGAAGTTTCTGACAAAAGAAACTGTTCTCTCCCTGATATGAAGGAGGCAGCAGAGTGTATTAATTGAAAGGGTGGGCTTTGGAATCTTAACAGACCTGGGTTCTAATGCCAGCTCAGCTACTTCCTGCTCTTGTGACTTAGGGTAAGTTCCACAATGCTCTAAGTTTGTTTCTTCACAAGTGAAACAGGACTACTCCTATGCTTAAGGATGTAAGAGTTAAATAACTGTAGGTTTCCTGCATACTTCTTCCCCTTTGTTTGCGGTAATGCTGAACTATATCCCCAATCTAAAGCCCCGGGAATGAAGAGTTCTAGTCTGCATTGTATAAGAACGTATGAATTAGTGAATGATGGGAATACTACTCAGAATCTGTATTAAAAAGCTTCATACAACAGTGGTCAAGTTATTAGTACTTAGCCTTGATCTAGAAACGATTTTAGGCAAATTACAAAGTTTTGTGATAGAAATAGCATGGGTTTACGAGTGATGGCAAAAGAAAGTGATGACAAAATAGGATTGAATGAGGTAAAAAAAATGTTTCTAACACAAGAGTCACACTTTCAACCCTGAGTCTTCTAGCAGCTATAAAGAACCTTTATATCACATAGTGTACATTGCTTATAAACTAAAAAAGACATTTAGAATCATGGGAAAAATTTGGTAGATCAGAGTGAAAAGAACTCTGCTTCTATCCAACCTCTATGCCCACCTAGCGTGCATGCGTGCGCGCGCACACACACACACAGTCTCGGGCCTAGATGGTCACACAGATGAAATTTTTAACTTTAAAAGCTTAGACTTTGTTCTAGACTATAGGAAAGAAGGGAAGCTCCCATATTTAAAAAAATGAAGCATGTATATCTTCATAGATCAGTAGCATAAAAAATTCTATAGATTGCTTCCTTTGGCTCTAAGAACTTCTCTACACCCTCAAAAATTATGAAAGGTCCTAGGAGGTTTGTTTATGCTAGTTGTATGTATTGATATTTATCATACTATAAATTAAAACTGAGAAAGTAAAAATATCTATTTTAAAACAATGTATTAACATTGTTTAATTATAAAAAGTCTGTATTTTCCAAACTGAAATAAATGTTGGTGAAATGAGTAGCTTTGTTTTACATTTTTACTTATCTTTTAATGTCTGGCCTAATAAAATAGCATCTGGAAGCTCCTCTCTGTGATCTGTTTTCAATAACTTTCAGATAATTGTGCATATTCTTTTTTGAAACTACACTAAATAAGTGGTAATTTTTTATAGATTAGTTGTAATGTGCAGTGTGAAAACATATGAAGGAATATTTTGTATTCTAATATATTAAGATCCATTAGTCTGTCTTGCATGCTGGGTTGAGATGATTTTGTAACATTGGTAGTATGGGAAATAGTGGATCACCTATTTTAGAAAATCTTCTAGGGCAGCCCTGGTGGCTCAGCAGCTTAGCACCACCTTCAGCCCACGGTGTGATCCTGGGGTCCTGGGATCGAGTCCCATGTTGGGCTCCCTGCATGGAGCCTGCTTCTCCCTCTGCCTGTGTCTCTGCCTCTCTCTCTCTCTCTCTCTCTCTCTCTCTCTCTCTTATGAATGAGTAAATAAAATCTTAAAAAAAAATAGAAGATCTTCTAAATGTAACATTTCATTATATATATTGGTTATCACCACTGATCTCACCAGAAAAGGTTTTAGGTATTTACTGTGAAGCTGTCAAAGCCATGATGTAAATATAAACTTTAGTATTCTAATTTTCTCCTGAAAGCTCAGATTTTATAACTGAAAATAAATACTGCAGTCAACTTCCTGGAAGTAAAAAGCTGACTTTGTTCCCATACGAGAAAATGTCTGGCTGATACCAAGTCTGAATGACCATAGTGTGTCACTTCTCCACATAGGTAAAAATGATGGTCCATGAAAAAACAAAACAAAACACAGCTACTTAAGCTTGCAGCTCAAATAATTGCACAGGTGCTTCTCAAGATAGCTGAATTTCTTGAGCAGCAAAAGTGCTTTATGAATATTTTTTGTTTCATCACTGACAACATAAAGAAGATATATATTCTTCTAAGCAGTGTTAGGGTTTAGGGTGCCTGGGTGGCTAGTCAGTTAAGCATCTCCCTTTGGCTCAGTTCATGATCCCAGGGTCCTGGGATCCCGGAGTTCTGGGGTGGAGTTCCACATCTGGCTCCCTGCTCAGCAGGTAGCCTGGGTCTCCTTCTGCCGATCCCCCGCCCATGTGTTCTTCTCTGTCTCAAATAAATTAAAATCTTCTAAATAAATAATGTTGGGTTTTAATAACACAGTTTTTACTGCCTCAACAAGTTACAGTCGTAAGTGAAATGGCTCAATGTCTCTTCCCCAGCTGCACCCCAGGAGATTGTATAGTAATAAAGTGTTTACTGCTGATAGTTGGGTGCTGCTGCCTTGAATCATGCTAAGGTGCTCATCATTCTACTTACTACAGGCTTTGTACCACCAATGCAAAATCAACACGTTGAAAAAAGCAAATGTCTTAGTAACACCTCTCGCCCACCAGACCCTTTTAAGAGTCTGTGGACCCCATTTTTGTGAACTGCTCCTGTGTACCAATCTGATGTATGAATATTGATACAAAACATCTAAATGAACAAGTAAATCCAAAACTGCAGATGATGAAAAAGCCACAAAAATAAAACCCATAGTAAAAAGGAATTAAATTAATTCTTAACAGGACATATGTGTGAGTGTGTGTGTCTGTGTGATTAGTATAGTGTGCATTGTGTTGTTTTTCTCAAACCAAACGTCGTCCCCCTTCCCAGCTGTAAAACAATGAGAGTACTCCCATTAAAGTCAGAAACCAAACAAAACTACCCAATATTGTGTGGCATCATTATCCTTGTGACATTGTTTAGAAATTGTCACATGCCATACCATATCATGATAAAGAGGTATACATGTTTGAAAAAATACGGAGAATTCTGATTATAGGTGATAAGATTGTAAACCTGGAAGGCCTCAAAGAAATGACTATTAATGTTAGGAATCAGAGGACTTCAGGTGGCTATCTTCAACTCTGTTTATATCCTATGTCACATGTTCCCTGTAACAAAACTTACCTACTTCCTGCTTAGGCGCAATAGAATGAGGATAAGAATACATTCAAAAAGCAAAAAATAAAGCTGATGAAAAGCAATATATAAGATCTAATTAAAACATAAAATGGAAAGAAATACAAAAATTGGATATTTCTGGGATAGAAGTATTAAGCCTTCTGAAGATAGCAATCCTTTCTAAATTAATCTATAAATTCAGAGCAGCAGTTGAATCTGAGCAAATTCTCTAACTTTTGGAGTGTGACAGTATTGATTCTACAATTCACCCATGGGAACATCCTGAGGAGAATAATTAGAGGAATGGGTAGGTAGAAGGCTTTGTCCTCCTGACTTTGTAAAAAACAAAAAGCTAACATATGGTACTGATACCAGAGTACATAGATCAGAATAGATTCCCCAGATAGACCTCAGGTATTTGGGGATTTAGCAGGTGAGGCATCTGAAGACCTCGGTAAGTAATTTTGAGATAGCTGGCTGGCCATCAGGCACAGATTTTGCTAATACTCAGTTACCATCAATTGCTGTCCTGTCTGCTTTCCCGGTTTCTAGTAACTTTCTTGGCCTCAGTAAGTCTGTTCCATCCTGTATGCTGCTACCAGCTAACTACTCAGCTATCTCTTTTACAAAAGAGGAAACAGATTCTTAAGCAATGCAGTTTGACTAATAGCACAGACAAGATTCAGTTTTAAAGTTTGTTTTCAAAGTCTGTCTTCATTAGGGCAAATTGCCCTTTAAAACATTGTGTGGCTCCTATCTGTGCTCTCAGCCCTCAATTCCACCTGTTTCCTTGGTCTTCCTCCCGCATGTCTGTACTTGACTACTTCCTCTGTCTATGCACTTTTCTTTGCCAGTAACATTTCTCTTACATTCTTTCCTCCATCTCTTCATTGTTTACTCATCCTTGGAGCTATAGCCAAAATTCTGCCCCTCTTTACATAACTTGTATTTCTGCAGTTGAAAGTGTCCTTCATTTAAAAAATTTTCAGTGTACTTCATACATCTGTAATAACACATCAGTCTGCCTGGGATTATTTATATTTATATTCTTACTTGGAGAGGTATACAAAAGTGAGACATAATGCCTAAACTGTAATTTAGTAAGTGAGACAGACATGTAAACTAGGATCAAAGCAAAATGAAATATGAAATAGCATCAAAAGAAGCAGATAGACAAAAAGAAAAAAAAAAGGCAGGTAGACTGCAGAGCGACCATTCTGAGGGGCCATGGGGATACAGAGGACTGCAATGAATAGATTACTTCTGATCTGAATCTTGAGAAATGAAAAAGATTCTCCACCAGTTAGAATCTAGGGAGAGAGAATATGATCACAGATGGGGAAGAGTGGTTGGTCTGCGGGGAGAAACCAAAAAAGTCCATTTCAGTGACATAGCTTTAAAAACATGAGAAGGTGTTTTACGTAAATGTGTGTTTGAGATAGCATTCTACAGCGCAGCTAAAGAATGGCTGGCAACGTTAGTCATCACTTGTTTATACACTTTGGTGTATGTATTTGTATTATGTACAAAACACTTATTTTTAGTGATGCATGGACATTTCCTCTTTACATATGAAGAGCAGCTGAGGATTTTATGTATAATGTACATTTATTTTTGAGATTTAGTATACTCAAGTATATGTAATGAATTTTTCATCTACATATCACCAAATCAGTTTTTAAATGTTTATCAGCTAGAGTTAGCTCTGTTATGGTCCTTCTTCTACAAATTACCCTAACAAGGACGTACTAATCAATACAAAAATACGGTTTTCAAGATACAGATAATCAGAGAGTAAAACAGTTAAAATTTCTAAATACCTTGAAATCAGTGGCACTACTTAAGTTGAAGAACTTCTATATTTCAAGAGTGTTACTTTGAAGGTCTTCCTTTTGATCGAATTCAGCAACAGACGTTACCGTATTTCCTTTCCTGGGTGTAGGAAATTTGCTTCCGCTGTTCTCACAAACTTCATTATATTCATGAGAAGTAATGACAGGTACCTATAAAACCAGAGAAAGACATGAACTAAACTCTGGTTCCTTAATTTATTGGCATAAAGTGTTTTATCTTGGTCCAAAGTATGGTCAGCATGTTTGGAGCATTACCTGTGTTTTAAGACTTGGCTCTGCAAATATGAAGGTTTTCTTTTTAGGAATTGGAATGTCTGGAGTATTAGAAGCATCCACTGAAAGTAAATGGATTTCTTTTTTTTTTTTATTAAATTTTTTTTTTTTATTTATGATAGTCACAGAGAGAGAGAGAGAGAGATGCAGAGACATAGGCAGAGGGAGAAGCAGGCTCCATGCACCGGGAGCCTGACGTGGGATTTGATCCCGGGTCTCCAGGATCGCGCCCTGGGCCAAAGGCAGGCGCCAAACCGCTGCGCCACCCAGGGATCCCGTAAATTGATTTCTTAAAACAAGTAATTAATTTGGGATGACTAAAATATAAAATGTGTCAACACTCCAACTTTTCTGTATTGAAGAGGGAGTTGATGTTTTATATAGCAATTGTATGTATGATTTTTTTCTGTGTAGTTTATATTGATGTACTTCTTTTTGTGTGTTGTTTAGCCGTATATGTGGGAGTCCATGTCCTGCAGTGTGGCCTGATGTAATCAAACTACCATATTTCAACACCATGAAACCAAAGAAGCAATATCGTCGAAAGTTAAGAGAAGAATTTGTTTTGTAAGAAGGGGATGGTTAAATGTCCATATCGCATTGAATTTTTTTTTTTTTAGTTATTTCTTAAGAATTCTGAATGTCACTCTGTCCTCTATTGACCCAAGGTAGACCTATCACAATTCTTCTGTGTCCTTTAATTTTTGAATTTCCCTTTGCTATATGCAAATTACCATTCACTGTCATTATGGTATCAGTGATTTGGGGTTGTTTCATTTGGAGCTTACATGACCTAACTTAAACACCATTTAAAATTTTAATGAAGTGATTTTCATGTTATTTGAGCTCAGGTTTTTATTTTGTTATAGGGAACTATTCAGTTCTCAGTTTATGTAAGAATTGCAAATTTACAACAGGGTAATAAAATATACTATTGTTTGCCAAATTTCAAATTATTTAGAATAATAAAGATTATGTAAAAGAACTATTTCTTGGAAGGGAAATTTGAAATTTATTGGAATAAAGTAGTGCAACTATGTTATAAAATGTTAGTAGTTTAAAGAAATGTTAAGCTTATGTGAAAGACCATATATGACTTTTGTAATCCTCTTATTATGCCAGTATTCCTGCAGCCGCACTAGACTTATTTGATTACATGCTCGCCTTGGATCCTAGTAAGCGCTGCACTGCAGAACAGGCTCTCCAGTGCGAGTTCCTCCGGGATGTGGAACCCTCAAAAATGCCTCCACCAGAGTAAGTGGCTTTTTATTAATTTAGATCCCATCTGGACAGTTTTAATAGCATGTATATAAAATGACCAGAAGCTATTCCATGATTAGTTAAGTCAAAAGAAATAGAATAAATTAGAAGAAATAGAATAGCAGTAAAACACACAATTTACACATCTAGAATGCAGAACCTTGCTTAATGTTCAGCTAACCATAGCATTAGCAAAGGTAGCCTTCCTCTTTCTAATTAATAGATTTCAACTCTAAGAAAATAATCCTGCTGCTAATATTATTCTAGTACTACTTCTACCGTTCCTAGTGTTTATACTGCTACTTAGTTGCTATAGTTAAAAATTTGAATGCTGAGCATTTTTATATATTCCATCCTATCAGGTGGGTATTATTATTGTCACTGTACTACAGAGGAGGAAGCAGGCTCAAAGAGGTTAAGAAACTTGCCCAAGAATACAAATGTAGGAAAGGGTGGAGCCAGCAAGTTAGTTCAGTAAGAAAGAGTAGTCCTGCAATACTCTGGCAGACTGTCCAATAGCAAATCCTTAACCATTGGATAAAGGAGCATTAGTAACAAAAGCCAGTATAGAATGAGTTTATTGTATGATTCAAAGAAAGTGTATAGAGTTTGGGAGTCAGAATAGCTGATTTCTTGAACCTGCATTCCCTTGTGGCTCCTATAATTTTTCTAGGAATGATTTGGGGAAAAGGGAGGGGACAAAGCAGTTCATTTGGTTCTTTTTTGAAAGGATCTAGAAACTTCAAGATTTCCTTAGTAATTTAAAAAAATTTGATGAGCATCATAAAAACAAGGCTTTTCCTATAATAAAATGTTTCCATGTAATAAAATTAGCAGATTGTGAATGAACAAACATGGGCTTTGGAGTTCAAATCTTGGCTCTTCCACTTATCACTTAGGTTGGGGTTACTATGTTTCTAAGACCTTTATATTCAGCTTTATTAATTTTTTATTGAACTGTGTATGAATGGCCATTATGGGATGGTTGGAAAGACAAAAAGGATCTATCATTTGACGTGTTGGAAGGATCTGAATCATTCACTGTTGAATTGTTTCATGGTGGGTTTTATTTTTATTTTTATTTATTTTTTTTGCTTATCAGCAGTCTTGAAACTTTGGCTCTAGTATCCCTTCAAGAAATTGTTTTCAACTTTTGATTTGGAAAAATTTCACCTTTACAGAAAAATAGGAAGAATAGTACAATGAGTATTCATATATCCTTCACCTATATTAACATTTGCTTTATCACTACATATGAGCTTTTTTCTCTGAACTGTTTGAATATTATATTGTGGAAGTGATATAATACTTAAAATTTGCTGTATATCTATAAGAACTAAGACTTTATTTATAATTATACTATCACTATAAAGCATAAAAAATTTAACATTGCAGTATCTAGTAGATAGTCCATATTCACATTTCTCCAGTTTTCCCAGTAATTTCCTTTTAGTCTGTTTTTTGGGGGTTTTTTTGTTTGTTTGTTTTGGATGAAGAATTCATCCAAAACTCACACATTTCATTTAGTTGTGTGCCTCTTCAGTCTTTAATACCCTTTAGGTTGGACTTTTATGACATTGACATTTTTTAAAACTTCAAGCTAGCTATTTTGATACGGCTTTAATTGCTTTCTTGTGATCAGAATTAGAATAAATTTTTTTGTGTATGTCAAGAATACTACTTAGGTAGTGAAGTGTGCTTTGTGCTTTGTCCTGTCAAGAGGAATTTAAGGTCATTTTTCTACCATTATTGGTAATACTAAGTTGACCTCTTGATGTAAGTGGCCCACATGAGAGAAGTCTGGTAAAAGCTGTATTGAACACATTTTTAATTAACATCCAAACTGCGTTGAAACAGTTGCAAAAGATGAAAATTTCAGTGTATGATAAGTTTTGACACTTTAAAATGGGAGCAGTTACATCACTCTTATAAATGTACAAAATAATCTTAGCATTTTGATATTCACCAAGATTCACTTAGAAAATACAAAGCTTTTTTTCCTCTTGATCAAATGGTCTTTGCAAATATTACTATACTAGTATGTCTTTAAGTTTAAAAAAGGAAAGAAAATTGTTGAATTACTATGTTGTACCTCTGAATCTAATATATGTCAACCATACTTCAGTAAAAAAAGAAAAGAAAGGTGCCTGTGTGGCTCAATCAGTTAAGTGTCCAACCTTTTTTTTTTTTTAAGATTTTATTTATTTTCATGAGAGATACAGAGACATAGGCAGAGGGAGAAGCAGGCTCCCCAGAGGGACTCTATCCCAGGACCCCGGGATCACAACCTGAGCCAAAGGCAGATGCACAACCGCTGTGCCACCTGGGTGCCCCAAGTCTCCAGCTCTTGATCTCAGCTCAGCTTAGGTCTTAATCTCTGGGTCATGAGTTTAAGCCCAGTGTTGGGCTTCATGCTGGCTGTGGAGCCTACATACATACATACATAAATATTAATAAATTTGGTTGGAAATGCAACCTAATGAAATAGGCAGGGTTGTGATTATTTTCCCCAACTAATTTGATTATCAGTTAATACTGTTTATTCTAGAATGAGAAAGTCCCACATTAATTATAATTTATTTTTTATTTTTATAAGTACCCTTGTAAATAATAAGCTTTTGTGAAGATGGACTTTGTGTCATAGTTTTATCACTGAGTTCTTTGCACGCCTCCCATATTATGTGCAAAATCACATAGTGATTTGTCATCAGAGATTATTAGAATGACCTTTCAGATGTCAATTTAAGATTCTTCGATTTTCTTTACAGTAAAAGATTGGAAACCACGTGACTTGCAAAGATTTTTTTAATCTAGTCATTAATCATATTTCAAAATTTGAGAAAATAAACTGAAGAAGCTTTGCCATTATTTATTAAATGACTCCCTTTTATGTTTTTTGAGGTTTTTAAATTTTTTTTTAGAGAGAGAGTGCGTGTGCACATGAGTGAGGGTGGCGCTGAAGAGGGCAGAGGAAGAGGGAGAATTTTTTTTAAAGATTTTTATTTAGTGAGAGAGAACTCATGTGCATGTGAGTGGCGGGGTGGGCAGAGGGAGAAAGAGAAATAGACTCCCTGCTGAGCAGGGAGCCTGACTTGGGGCTTGATCCCAACACCTTGGAATCATGACCTGAGCCAAAGGCAGCATTTAACTGACTGAGCCACCCAGACACCCCTGCGAGAGAGAATCTTAAGCAGCCTCCATGCCCAGCACAGAGCCTGATTCGGGCTAGATCTACACCCCTAAGATCATGACCTGAGCCTAAATTAAGAGTCAGTTGCTTAACCAACTGAGCCACCCAGTGCCCTTAAATGACTTATTATACTTGGTTACTTTTTCTTTTATTAGTACTTGTTTCATCCAGTATACTTGGACAGGTTTAGGAATTCAGCATGGAATGTCATTACAACTTTGCCAATCTGTATGTTAGATTGTTTTTCTTATTACATGTTTTGAAATACGCTTTTGTGAACACCTTGGAACTGTAGATATATCCCATTTAATTAATGGGTAATGTCTGCCATGTAACCTAATTGGAAACTGTGTCCATATTATCAAACATATCACCTAAATTCACTTAATTTTTATCAGAACACACCTGACTGCATTCCTCCATTAAATATATGTATGTTAATACATATTTCGGTGAACAGGCTCTAATCCAATAATGAATTAGGGATACATCACTAAAGCGGTCAGATTGAAATTTAATATGCAAATTGAATTCATATATAAATTTAATGTATTGATATATAAATTAAAAGTTATGTAAGCAACTTAACATCTCATTATTTTGAAATATGTATTGGGTAATTAAAATGATAAGTTATCTATGAAGTAAGCACTATGAAGAGCATTGGTATGGTATTGCTTTGGGAAATATGTGTATGTACTAAATTCTTGTGACCAGTTTTTTTTTTTTTTTGAATAATCAAATGAGAATGCGATGTTAACTAAAACAACCACATTAAGTGTATTAGATGTGGTGTCAGATTTTTCTGATATATTTAATGAAAAGAGCATATTTTGCTAACAAGTGAATTAGATTGACAGCTAGCCTATAATTTTTTTTAACAGCAAGTGAAAAGCACTGAACAGTTTATAAAATAAAATGTGATCAACTGTAATTGGAATAAATATGATTGATTTGATAAAAGTAGTTTTAAACTATCTTGTTGAATGATGATAAATGGTATCAAACATGCATATGGTGTCTACTCTGGGAGAGGCACTGTCTGGGGCTTATATATGGTAACATGTATTACTCTACCCCGTAAGGCAGATTGTATTGCTCATCATTTTTAAAGATAAGGAAACTGAGGCACAGAGGTCAAGTTACTTGCCTAGTGAGACACAGTAAGTAAGTGGCTGAGCCAGTATTTGAACCTTCAGAAAAGCACATAAAAATTGGGTCATCCTGGAAGACATTGATGCTGTATCCAGAGTTAGCATCACTGACCTATACGTTTCAGCTATTTATTGGGTAATATTTTATCTTTCCTAGAGATGAGTGTCGAGGTAATCCATAAAGAATCTCTTAGCTTTAAACTGTGGGACGGAACAAAGGCCCTGGTTGGTTAATGGATTTGCTCCACTGTCCTCTCACGGGGCTCTCCCTCAGGAGCATCAGGGTGGAAGCAGTGCAGCCACTCATTTCCCTGCTCCAGAGTTCTGCAGTCTGGCTGAACTTAGAATATCCCAACAGGGGCCAAAGCCACATATCTCGTGACACACACACTTGCAGACACAGAAAGGAAAGTCTTTGGCGGGTTTATGATGCCTTAAAGCTTCCCAATATCAATATTTCAAATTGTACCTTTGTTTGTTACTCCAGGAGGTTTTTACACGCTGAGGCAATGCACCATAGTAAGATGGCTGAGAGGTATGCCTTTGTTTTGTTTTTGGACCTCAGGTGCATAGACTTGGTTTAATCATAATCCTTGTGTCACTCATCATTGGTCCATGCATGGCTCTCTTTTTTTTCTTTTAGTTACTTAGTTATTTTAAATGATGTTAATAAGCAGCCATGAACCTACCAAATAAAAGCTAGAACCTTGAAAATAACCTACGTTAGTCATATCATACCCTTTCCCCACCCCCTGCCCTACGACCTACCCCCTTGCCTTCCTCCACCTGAGGTAACCATCATCCCTGTTTTCTTTTGTATATACTTTTGTTGCCATCTATATGTACTCATAAAAAGTTATATTTAAAAATTTTAGTTGTTTTTAATTTTATAAAAGGGTATCATGCTGTTTGTAATCTTTTGGGAATGACTTCTTTTACTTAATATTATATTGCTAAGATTCGACCATATTGTTGCATATGCCTTTACTTTATAACATGAGAGTAATTGTGAAAGAGGAGGTGTTGATAGAACTTGCTGTGCAGGCCATTTTCAAAGGTCAGTTTTAGGAAAGAGGACATAGAGATATGTGAATTCTTTTAAAACAATTTCAGGTGTACCCCATCCCCCCTGGAAAGCATCCCTAAGAGGTAAACATATCCAGGTTGAAGACGGTAGATGTATAACCAGGTTGGGGCTGCTTAAGGGCATTGGTAGATATTCTGGGCAAGTTTATTAACCTTTCCAAGCCTCAATTTTCTCATCTTTAAAATAGATATAATAGTAACTTCCCATTGGAATTTTTATTAGACTAAGAAGAAAACATTTATAAATCAAACATTTATGTCTTTCTTTAAGCAAAAGTTACTCTGCAGTGTTGTCAGTTTTATGAAATTACTTTCAGGTAGAATTGTTTCAGAATTGTGGGTAATTTTGAGAGTTGCTAGTTATTCAGAACTCTTTGTTGATGAGTAGTAATGGGAGCCTGGATTACCTATTTATGAAACTTCTCTGTAGCATAGTTTAATTTGAGAGCACTTGATTATGGAAGTAAATAAGAGGGTATTAAAGAAGTAAAAAGCTTTTACTAGAAAGTTTTTTACAGATGTTATCTCCTAGCTTTTACTGCTTTTTAATCCTGTTTCCATTTTCTGCAAATGGCATATTTTTTGCCTTCTTTCCCATGTCCTATTCAACATATGGTGTACTATGATAAGAACTGGCTTTAAGAGATTGCACCAAGGATGATAGTAACATACTTTTGTGAACTTGTGTTCTTCATTGATAGTCATACTAAGTGATTATTTACTGATTACTCAGAAGTCACAGAAAAAGAAGCCCTGAAGGAGGTGGGGCATCCAGGATGATTTTGATTGAGGAGTTCACATAGCATGTGTATCAAGTCTTCAAGACCCACTGGCAGGCGGGTGGGGGTGGTGGCTTTGGTGCTCTGTAGTTAATAGTAGCAGTTTTTGGTTGTTGTTAAGAAGTAACATTGACAATCAATTTGATACTTTTTTTTCCAGCCTTCCTTTATGGCAAGATTGTCATGAGCTATGGAGTAAAAAGCGGAGAAGACAGAAGCAGATGGGCATGACTGATGACGTGTCCACTATTAAAGCCCCCAGAAAGGACTTGTCCCTTGGCTTAGATGACAGCAGAACCAGCACACCTCAGGGCGTGCTGCCGTCTTCACAGTTGAAACCTCAGGGCAACTCGAACGTAGCACCTGGTCAGTAATGCTTCCCGTGCTTGGGCTGGTCTTCCCTTGTTTTGTGGCTGACGGTGATTATATTGCTCCAGTGTTAAACCATTTGTGGAAAATAAGGTTTATTCACCAAACTTCACATTTCCCTGTTAAATGCTTGTGCCAGTGTAGATGCTTCATGCTGCTGGCAACACAGTATTAAGCAATCCCACCAAAAAATTAAACTTCTAAAGAAAGCATCAAATTACATACGATTAGTGAGTGGTCAGATTTCTCTATAGCCTTTCTCTCCCTAGTACAGGAGTCAATAGAAAGATAAAGGAAAAGAGCCAAAATTCGTAATAGAAGCTCTTTTTTTAATGTCCTCAGATCACACTTACTAAATCTCCCATTATGTTATAGAATCTCAAAGACTGGAATCTTCTTTCATGCCAGCAAAGACTTGAAGTGTATGGTAAAGAAGGATATTTGGGGGAAACAAATTTCTTCCTCTGACTCAATCTGTTGTAAGAGTAAGCTTCTTCATGAGAATTAAGCCTTTTCAGTGTTGTTGGAAATGTCACTCATTCTGTCATTTAGTTTTAAAAATCAGTTGATTTAAAACAGATCTGATCAGATTCAACTTTTGGTGGTTGAGTATAAATATAGAGTAGATTAGCTGAGAAAGCTGGAGAGAGATTACCATGACCCCTTTCCTGCGTGATCTGCAAGCTTAAACTTGACCTTGGTCAGACTGCGTTAAAGTGCTAGTACCTGTTACTTTACAGACAAAAACAGTTGTTATTTGTTGGTCAGGGTTTCATTTTCTTTGTTGCCCCCCCCCCCTTTTTGACTCACTGTTAAGTGAGAATTCTGGTTTTGTGAAATAGGAATGAGTCCTCTCTGCACGTCCGTCGTCATCGGCTGTTAGTAAGAAGGTGCCCTTTCTGTAGAGGAGACAGCGTGGTTACAGAGTACTTCTGAAGTCACGCAGAGCCTGCCTCTGAGACAGGCAGAAACGTGACTGGAAAATGAGGGGAACTGGCTCTTGGCGTGCAGCAGACAAGCTTGGCTCCTTCCTTATTAATGCCTGGGGGTCCCAGGGACTGGCCCAAGTGTGTTTCAGGTTAACCTGAAAGTAACTAAGAAGTAATAAAAAGTATCTTAAGATCTATAACGAGAGAAAATAAAAAGGTAACATTCAGCATCAGTTTCTCATCTTCCTGGAGTGGCTCTTCTATTCATCTGTTACTCTTACAGAAATTGCTTATCAGCACAGTGCCCAACCCCACACGGTACCATATACCCTCCACCCTTATCGTGTGGGACCCGAGAAGCTTGTGCAGGAACCTGTCTAAATGGTCATGTGTCTAATCTGAAAATTGAAAAAAAAAAAAAAAACAAAACAAAAAACCAGCTGAATCTGTTTTGCTGGTGATTAGTTAATACCCTCTTGTGGGCACTTCATCAGCACGCTTCTGTCAGAATTCCTAACTTCCCAAAGTGAGTTTGCTTAAAAAAAAATGATTATTTGAATAAAGTACATTTTACGAAAAAGTCTGCAACATTCCAGTTTGAAATTACTGCAAAAATAACGTTAAGTCCTTAGATAAAAAGCATTATTTTAGATTTTAGCAGTACGGTGAGAACTCAGAGGCTGGAATCGGCATATTTACGTTCTGATCTCGGCTTGGGCACTTTATAGAGTGTGTGACTTTGGGCAAGTCATTTAGTGTCTCTGGAGGTCAGTTTCTTCTTTAGTTAAAAAAAAAAAAAAAAAGGAGGGGAGGGGGACTGATAATAGAGTGTGACCTCCAGATTATGGTGAGGAGTAAAGGGTATGAAATGTTCAGAGTGCTGACTCTCTGGGCCTGCCCCCACACACACCCCACCGCCCCCACTCCCTCTGTTCCATCACAGGTAGTAGTTCCTGGTCTAACTAGAAGATGATGGGCTTCCAGCAGTAGTCTCGAATTTCTTTTGAAATTTACCCCTGAAGAGAACTTCTTCAAAATGGGCCACAGTTTTTGTTCTAATTAAGGTGCAGTTACATCTTAAATGGCCATGAAATTAGACCTAGACTGAGGTGCCTTTTCACAGTGTTTCTTAAACACTGCCCCACAGATGTGCACTTGAATATGGCCATACAGGGCCATTTGGGAGGGCGGGGTGCTATGAATTATGGCAATTCTAATTAATACAAATTTTGTCTTTAGTAAAAACAGGCCCTGGACAGCAGTTAAACCACAGTGAATTGGCAATTCTTCTAAACCTACTACAGTCTAAAACAAGTGTTAATATGGCTGATTTTGTCCAAGTGTTGAACATTAAGGTAAACTCTGAGACTCAACAGCAGCTAAATAAAATAAACCTTCCTGCTGGAATTTTGGCAACAGGTGAAAAACAGACAGATCCGTCAACACCACAGCAGGAGTCTTCGAAACCACTGGGAGGAATTCAGCCTTCTTCTCAGAGCGTGCAGCCCAAAGTGGAGACTGATGCTGCGCAGGCGGCTGTGCAGAGCGCATTTGCAGTTCTGCTGACTCAGTTAATAAAGGCCCAGCAGTCAAAGCAGAAGGATGTGCTACTAGAAGAGAGGGAAAACGGATCAGGACACGAGGCGTCACTACAGCTCAGGCCCCCTCCAGAACCTAGCACTCCGGCGTCGGGTGAGTGCAGAGAGCGAACCGCGAGCACCGTGGCCTTCACGCTGCTTCCGTGGAGTTGAGGAGTGTCTGTGGTGCATGGTGTTCAGTGGCGTTGCCGGGGGAGATGTTCTGAAAGTCCTCTGGTCACTGGTTACAGGTGGTTCTCTTGGTCCGTCCACCCCTCGGGGGAGATTCTTGAACAAACCATCCAGGGTGATAGAACTCCTTCCGAAAGCCATAGGCTTAGGAAGAATCTTTTACTCCAGCTGCAGCGGCGATTGTCCAAGGCAGAAACTTTGATGTGTGCGGTAGCTTTGTTCTTCGGGCCGGAAATCGGTAGATGGGAAGAGTCCAACGCAATTCGATTTCTCAGTCCCTGTAAACTCGGGTGGTAACCCGCAGTGTTGGCACTTCCATCCCTTCCTCTCCTTCCCTCCCTCCCTTGCTTCCTTCATTTTTGTTTTTGCTTACTTGCGGGGGACAGGACTTCTCATGTTCTTTACGAGCACCCATAGGAAACTCACCCGGCTTCTCATGGTAACTTTTAACTCTCCTTTTTTCTGCTTCTTTGCACATAGGGCAAGATGACCTCATTCAGCACCAGGATATGAGGATGTTGGAGCTCACGCCGGAACCAGACCGGCCTCGCATTCTGCCTCCGGATCAGCGACCTCCCGAACCACCTGAACCACCACCAGTCACCGAGGAAGATCTGGATTATCGGACAGAAAACCAGCACGTCCCCACCACTAGTTCTTCGTTAACTGACCCTCACGCCGGAGTGAAAGCAGCCCTGTTACAGCTGCTTGCTCAGCATCAGCCCCAGGATGACCCCAAGAGAGAGAGTGGCATTGATTACCAGGCCGGAGACACCTACGTCCCTGCGTCAGACTACAAGGACAATTTTGGATCTTCTTTCTCTTCTGCTCCCTACGTCAGCACCGATGGTCTCGGGGGTAGCTCTGCTCCGCCACTGGAACGACGCAGCTTCATTGGGAACTCCGATATCCAGCCTTTGGAGAACTACAGTACTGCTTCATCTCATTCTGGCGGTCCACCTCAGCCTTCTGCTTTTTCCGAGTCATTTCCCAGTTCAGTAGCTGGATACGGAGACATTTACCTCAATACCGGTCCCATGTTGTTCAGTGGAGACAAGGACCACAGATTCGAATACAGCCACGGCCCCATTGCCGTCCTGGCAAACAGCAGTGACCCTGCCGCGGGGCCAGAGAGTACTCATCCTTTGCCAGCAAAGATGCACAACTATAACTATGGCGGGAGCTTGCAGGAGAACCCGGGCGGCCCCGGCCTCATGCATGGACAGACCTGGACTTCTCCGGCCCAAGGACCCGGGTATTCACAAGGATACAGGGGACACATTAGCACATCAGCTGGCAGAGGTCGAGGCAGAGGGTTACCATACTGAGTATCTGTTTTTCCTCAGGCACATCGTTTTTATCTGGAAAGACTTTTCTAGCTGCAATTTAAGGCAGCGATCCAAGAGACTTGAATAATATTAATTCAACAACAGCTTTATTTTTATGTGGAAAAGGGTCTTGCATACAATAGTTAAAAAAAAAAAAGAAAAAAAAACCTTTGCTTAAATTCATGCTGTTCTAAAAACTAGATCTATTGATTGTACATCTTCACAAATTCTAGTTAACGATTTTATTTTGTATTCTTGCAGTTTTAAGTGGATGCTAATCTTAGGGACATAAGAGTCTTTTATGGCCCTCTTGCAGATCTTCTGAACTATGCACATTTGTGCTTTTTTTGTAAGTTTGGACCAACTTTTATGTAACAACCAACCAACCCCTCCCCCCTCCAGTTTTACAACAATCAGAAAGGGCACTGATTTATTTGGTATTTTTCTTTTTACAAAGCTGCCTTTAGTCAAAGGTCACTGTCCGTCTTTGCACCTGCTTTCAGTGTTATTGTGAAAGGTGTACTTTGTGCTCACTTCAGAAAATAAAACACAACCTTTCTCTTGATGCAACAGTTTTATAAACAAACAAAAAAATGGTCAACGTTATTTTTGTTTTATTTTGCAGATTATCATAGCCGAGCAAAATGCATTCAAATGAAATAGTGGGTTTTATATGAAAAATATGGGGTGGGGAGGGGAAGTAAGTGCCTTAACAGGTAAGCTTAAGGTCTGAAAAAGCAGTTAACCTTTACACCCATTTGTCTTCTAGAGGGAACCAGTACACTGTACGGAAGGGGCGGAGCTCGCGAGTGTTCGGCTCGCCTGCCCCCTTCCTGCTAGACCCATCCCCTCTGCCCAGCCCACTCTTCCTGCCTGCCTGTCTTTGGGCTGCGTTACCTTCCACTCTCACCTGTCTCCAGAGGAGGGTGAGCGCAAAAAAGGGATTAGAACTCCAGTCAGTCCTCTGTTACTTCCAAGAAGTTCTAAAAAGCTAGGTCGTCGAAGTGCTGAAAGTAATAGCTAAACGAGAATTCGAGAATTTGGGAGGCCTGTTCCTTCAGGCTTCCCTACGTCCCTGTCTGTTGCCGCGGGTGATCGAGGGCAGTGGTGTAGAAGCAAGGCCGAAATACACAGGATTTGCCTGACTCCTTTAAAAGTTCACAGGGGGAGGGGTGGCAAACATCGTATCTTAAGTCACACAATTGCCATTTTAGGAAAAAATTAGCCGTTCAGTTTGTTAACTAGAAAACATTGCCTCGATTGAATTTATTGGAGCGAAAAGAAAATGTAGTGAGAGAAAACCTTATCTTCCCTCCTCTCACCTTCTGTGAGGTTTATTATGACTTCTGCCAGACTCAGAACAACTTTAGCTCATTTTAATATTTTTTCTTTCTTTTATTAAAAGCAACAGAGAATGACGGACTAACCCATATGTAAGCTGTAATGGTGTCAAGTCTAACTAACGTTTGTGCACGCTCACGCACACGCAGAATTATAATAATTCTTGAAAGGAACCAAAGGTGAATAACCAGTGTTTCCATTATCACTAAATGGAAAAATAAACTCTGGAAATGAGAGTTGTGCCAATTAACCATTTTGTTTTTAACTGTTCTCCTGGTAACTTACTTTTTGATTGGAATTGTAAATTGGAAGAACTGTTTTAGAATGGAACTTGCTCCAGTTCTAAAGTCAGTCTTTTAACCCCATGTCCTCTATCTGACTTGTGAACCTTCATTTCAAAACAGTATATGGGAAGCATTATAGTTTGGTGACAGTAAGGATATTTTAAAGTGGATATTTTACCATTTTACTGCTATAAAATGAGTTGATGTCAGTTGATCATTTTATTTTTTTGATGGAATTTTTTTTTTGTTGGGGAGAAAGAAATGAATGGAAGAAAAATTATTTTGCTTTTATTTGAATATTGAGTACTAACAACTTATAATAAAACTACATTGCAGGAAGTGAAGAAATATTTTGAAATTTAGCAAAATAGCTACAGTATTCAAGTATCTGAAATTTTAATATGGTGAGTCTTAGCGCTTTAGACTTTCCTCTAAGTGACAGTATCTAAGTTATTCTTAATAGTCACACTCGATAATTCTGCTGACCATAGCAGCTAACCTAAAATTGAAGATATTTATGTGACATGAATAGCCTGTGTTTTAAAAATTAAATATTTTATATAAAATTGAACTGTGTTTGGATAGTTTTTCCAACATTTCAGTTATATTATGTTGGGAGAGTGGCTGGGAGGACAGGGAAACTGTTGCTTGAAACTGGAAGTTTGAACTATAGCTTCTAATATTACCCTAAGACATCATTAATTGTGAGACATACCAATTTTTATTGCACCATTTAGAAAAAATGTTGCCAATTAAGCCACAACACAATGCATCAATTGTAAGATTACTCCCCAAATTCAGAGAGGTCATCCCTTGAAAGAATCGATGAAATACGGTAGCAAGATCTTAATGCATCCCTTCCATACCAATTGATACTTTATGAAATTGGATTTCATAAAGAGAGCAAGGTCAGAAATCCCTAATTTCGTAGGTTATAATGGCAGTAATCGCTGAATATTCTTGAGTGTAATCTAAGGAACGTAAAATATTACTTAAGTTTTGGGGAAAGAAACAGGTAAGTCAGGTTGCAACCATGAGGATGAAAATAGACGACTGACCTAACAAAAGAAGGAATTTTCTGGTCTCCCACGTGAAGCTGTCTTTTGTATTTTCTGACCCGGCAAGTCTCTCTGCAAACTCAAATCTTGAGTCCGTTATTTGTTGGAGAGCTGTAGTCACTTATGAAATTTTAAAAGACTCACTATAAGGGGGTTACCGATGACAATGGTTTGGGGAGTGTGAATTAAGATGATGTTCTGGCTGTGATTCGGGGCTTGGTCCCGTCAGCGAGTGTATATCCAGGGCCCGCCGAGCACTGGGTGCCATCCTCGCACCTGGGGTGCGTGAAGGCTGGAGTGGGTCACAGGCTTTTCAAAGGCCTGGAGAAGCTTGCTGCTCAGCTGTGTCTACGTTACTCTTGAGTGAACGTGAGAGATGGAAATGTGAGTGTGAAATTTTAAAGTCCAATTTGTATAGAGAATATTGCAGAACTAGGACAACTAGAAACTCCAAGGTGAAAACAAGTTTAGGTCGCATCTGGCCAGTTTGTAATAGGCCAGTCTGCAGCAAATACCAGGATTTCTCAAGGAAGGTGGAAGGTAAAATGGGTTAAATGCTTCCCAGCTACTCTCACAGGAACCTGTGAGTCAGTTAGCTGTTTGCTGGGAGCCTAATCCAATTTTACACAACCTGTCACTGGAGCCCCCCCCCCCTTTTTTAAGTAAACCTGAAATACAAGTTCTGAGTGAAGATCTACTGATCTGGGATACTGGTTTTGGTATTTTTAAAGACTGTACAGGATGTTCCAATTAATCTAACATCATCTGGTCTGTCTCCTCACTTTATAGCTGAGAAAAATGAGATTTAGAGATGGGTAGCCAGGGCTGTCCGTCTAAGCCTTATCTAAATTCTGCAGGAAACACTTAACTTTTTAACAAGGAAATTGACTTAAAATGGTTACCAGTGTTACAGTAAAATAAATTTAGAATGCTGAACAACTAGTTTAATGCAAATGGCTTTAAAAGGTCAACTTTAAAAACAAAAACAATAGAGAAATAGACTTAAAACTTTAGAGAAGTTAATTAGAAGCCTATACAGGATGGATAGTTTTTAAAAAGGAGGTTCATCTCTCTTTTTTTAAAAGACAATAGTTATTCAAATATCAACTTGACAGTAAGACTGAATCTTTCCTTTAAATTTATTTTCTATTTGTAAGAGGAAAGTCATTATCAGCCGGCCTGCAAACATTGCTTTTAAATTCTTTTAAGGTTTTAGAATTTCCAGTGGTGTTATGAGGGAGCAATGCTTTCTCATTTACCAAAGCCTCTCCAGATAATTTTTTAAAGTGCTTTTAGTTTAACTGAAAATATAAACTATTAAGAGTTAATTGATAAGCTATCTAGGGATCCAGTTAGGGAGAAAACAGAATTTTGACCATAATGGAAAGAACTTGTCCTTTGAATTATGTGGACGAACAAATTCTGTGGGTTTTACTCCTTTCACCATGCCAAATGTCCTATTAAAAAATTTTAGTTCTCATTGCATTCAAAATGAGGCCCTGTACGTGAGTCACCCCTTGATTCTTTTTCACACTTAGTTTGTTGTAAAGGTGTTGTACTTTATGCAAGAACTTTTAGTAAAGTCTTGTAACTGTGAAATCCAATGTGTTTAATATAAGCCATTTGTTTAAAAAAAAAAAAAAGGCTGTATATGATAGTCTGTAAATAAAATGCCATCAGAATTCCAGGCCATTTTTAGCCTTGTTTTATTCTTGCTTGTCTCCAGAACAGACTTTCAGGAATAATCTTATCTGACAAAGATGACTCCGTGTTAACCATTGTGCCATGTTTTCTTTCTTTCTTTTACTTTTAAGATTTTATTTATTTGAGAGAGACTGCAAGCAAGAGAGAGCATGAGTGGGGTGGGAGAGCATGAGGGCGAAGGGAGAAGCAGACCCCCCCCCCCCCGTGGGAGGGACCCCGTGGGGACTGGATCCCCGGGACCCTGGGACCATGACCTGAGCCCAAGGCAGGCACTGTGCCAACTGAGCCACCCAGGTGCCTGTGCCACGTTTTCTTGACAAAGCTTAAAACCCAGAACACTTATTTTTCTCTTTTTAGCCTGGTACACATGTGAAAGTGTAGGAACACATCCAGAGAACACATCCATTAATTAAACCATTAATATTTAGCCTTTGGTGGGTGTATATAAATGCCTATCTAATCTTTTTCTTAAAACAATGGGTTTATATTGCCTAGACATTGGTGGGTTTTTTTTTCATTTAATAATACATTGTGAACATCTTTCTAGGTCAATAATTACATTCTACCCTCTTTTTAATGGTTGTAAAGTATTCCTTTATAGAAGAACTATAAAATTTCCTTATTGCTAGACACAAAATATTTCCAACTTTTCTGTTACAAATAATATACTGAAAATCCACATAAATACAAATACACATGATTTCCTTCTAAACCTCTGCCCTCAGGAAAGGTTTGTAAGTTTTATATTCATTCTTACTACTTTTCAGTTAGCCATGTTAAAACTTCTAAATCTGCCATTTTGACAGTTGATAAATCATCTTAATTTGTATTTCATATTCTTAAAGGTACAGTAATGTAAACTAATCACTGCATAAATAGGAAAGCTGTCATGTGGGTTTTTTTTTAATGACCACATTGACTTTTATTATAATTTCCTTTTTTTAAACTTTTATTATAATTTCTAATGATTTTCTATTGATTGAATATGTTAATTGGCATTCTTATTTCTGATTTTACAAATATAAATTGTTAGTATTTCCCCCATGTATAATTTAAACTATAGATTGAATATTTATGTTAAGAATATTCACGAAGCCCACTTATTAGGATCAGATGTTAATATTTTTTCAAGTGCTTTTTCAATGTCTACCCTTATATTTATGTAGATTTTCTCCTTT